CCACAGAATTAGTTTGCCATCCACAGAATTACTTTGCCGTCTCCAAAATTAGTTTGCTGTCTCCAAAATTAGTTTGCCGTCTACAGAATTAGTTTGCCGTCTACAGAATTAGTTTGCCGTCCACAAAATTAGTTTGCCGTCCACAGAATTATTTTGCCGTCTCCAAAATTAGTTTGCCGTCTACCGAATTAATTTGCCGTCTACCGTCTTCAGAACTTTAGGTTTGCCGGGATCTATAGCCAGTTTGCCGTCCACAGAATTATTTTGCCGGAACAAATTTATGTTTGACTTCTAAAGAATTTATATTTGCCGTCACAAAGTTAAACTTGACGTCTATAGAATTAGTTTGCCGTTGACAAATTAGTTTGCCGTACAAAAGAACAATATTTGTCATCATAAAATAAAAGTTGCCGATCCGCCGAATTACATTTGCCATTAAAAAATTAAGTTTGCCGTCAAAGTTGTATGTTTGCCAGCGTAAAAAATGGTTTGCCACCTTAAGATTAAGTTTGCCATGCTGTCATTTAGTTTGTCATCAACGGATTAAGTTTGCCATCAYGTCTCAAATGTACGCCACGTTTTTTAACTTGCCGGTGGCCCTTCTGGGCTTCCGTAGGAGTACGAGATTTTTGCCGGGCATKTGTGATACTGACTCGATCGAACTGAATGTGAATTCTGCATGAAGGTTTAATCCTAAATAATCCCTTCATCTTTTTTTTTGTTCTAAGGTAAGGACTGAATGACATTAGTTTATGATATTTCAAGACTTGAAATCGCTTTGATGAGAACACGCGCTCAAAATTCCAGCTACGACAATTTGTATTTGTGAGCCTTTGTTTGTTTTAATTTTAGCTCAATGATTCCTCTCAGGCTGCAGTACAAACGCATTAACGCAGGCCGATAACCTTTGCCTTTCTTCCATCGAAACACAGCAGATAGGCTCACAGTGTTGACGCTCGTGGCTAAAAAAGCTGTTTTATTTCAGGTGTTGTAATAGATGCCAACATGAATATCAATGTAAAGACAGAACCACTAACTGTCAGTGACGACTGGTTTGCTTACCAAACTGATGCTGGAGTCACTCTCTTTTACTACAACCGTAGAACTGAAGAACACATATGGAATGTCTGTACTTGTTCATGCTTTCAAATGGTAAATATATAATTGTAGATTGAATATCAACAAATCAACTCATATATATGTTATATGGGCGTGTGCTACACAATAGGGTGTGGTTTTGGGCTATTAATTTTGGGATACACTGGGATAGGGTGTAAAGAAACAAAATAAAACAAGCAGAAAACAAGCAAAAACTACAGTTCCAATTTAGGGTACAATTTCTGGTTTTGGATATTCTTAGAAATACTAATGTCCTGGATGTCTTGTTGTTGTGGCACATCCTCCACACCTCTCTCACTTGAGATCAGTAATGTTCAACGGTACCTCAGTGTATTGTGGGTGTGCAAAATGCAGGTGTCAAAACATTAATTTTCTGAGGTGTATGAGTACTTGACTCAATAATCTGACTTAATATCTTACTTAATCCTTAAAAAAAAAGTCTTCTTCTATTATAATTTTTCAATTTAATTACTAGAAAAGGTTCAACAAAGGTCGATGTATGCCAGAATTGAAATGCACAGCAAGCCAAACTGATGAATATTATTTAACAAAAATTCCAAAAATTCTGGTTTCTGAATCTGTGCAAACAGAAGACATTGAAATTGTTGAAAATGAAGAACTTGTGTCAATCTCATCTCCTGCATCCAACAAGCTTCACTCTACAACACCAACAAGAGACACAGAGCTGGATGAACACATGGTATTTGATGCTGAATTACTTGAAGACAATGATTACATTATAAAAGGTGATGATAGTGATAATGACATTCAGCAACCAAGCAACATTGAGGTCAATGAAGACACTTTTCAGGCCAATCATGGTTCTTATTCTGAAGGAGATGAAGACGATGAAGATATTTCTGAAAATGAAAAGGATTACTTTTCTCCTGAGAACCAGCATCAACCTTCACAAGATGACACTGAGCTGTTCATATGTTTCAAGTGTAACTTGGGGTTCAAGTGTGAGAGGCACTTGGAGAATCATGAAAAGATAATACACAATGGAACAAAACCTTTTAAATGTGACTCTTGTGATAAAGTGTTTGCCCATAAGAACAGTTTAAAGATTCACAAAGAAGCACACAAGAATAAAGTAAGCAGCAATCTAGAGAGAAGTGGTGTACTGCATCATGCAAAGAAACAACAGGCAATTCAAACAACCGAGAAGTCATTCAAATGCACAATATGCCATAAAACCTTTAAACAAAAATGGTACATGAAACTCCACACTCAAATACACAGAGGAGAGAAAGAATTCAAGTGCAATATCTGTAATAAAGACTTTGCAACAAAAGCTAGCTTACAAATCCATAATCGAATGCACCAAGGAAAGAAAGAATTCAAGTGTAATATCTGCAATAAAGACTTCACAGACAAGAATTATTTAAACAGACATTATAAAATCCACAGTGGAGAGAAACCATTTAAATGTACAATCTGTAATAAAGCCTTCACTCACAAGAATGATTTGAAGAGGCATCATCGAATCCACAGTGGAGAGAAACCATTTAAGTGTACAATCTGTAACAAAACCTTCACATACAAGAGTACTTTAAACAGTCATCATCGAATCCACAGTGGAGAGAAACCATTTAAGTGTACAATCTGTAACAAAACATTCACGTTCAAGACTAATTTATGCAGTCATCATCGAATCCATAGTGGAGAGAAACCATTTAAGTGTAAAGTCTGTAATAAAGCATTCACACAAAAGATTACTTTAAACAGACACCATCGAATCCACAGAGGAGAGAAACTATTGAAATCTGGAAGCTTCACTTGAAATTTTAACTATAACTTACAGAGACCATAATGTATATTGAGAAGCTATTTGAATACGCAATTGTAGGAGGAGTATTCTGTGAACGATTAACAAATTATTTTACTCCTTTCTTTGGTTAAGTGCATGAAGTTTCTGCAATATTGAGTTATTGTTTATAGTCATACGTTGGGTTTTCTATCAAATAATAAATCTCATTTTGAGTTGTCAGTTTGTTGGTGATCAATTGTCTCAGACGAAAACTCGTTGCATCTACATAACCTCTTCATTTTTAGCCTGCGTTAAATCCGGTTTTATTTGCCAAAAGAACCGTTATTTTTGCGAAATAAACCGGATGTAACGCAGGCTACTTCACTTTTTTCCAATAAATCTAATTACAAAGTGCCAATAGCCTCGTAAAAGGTTGTCGATCGACAAATTGGCGAATGTCAGTTGTTGAATGGTGATTGCACAACCTAAAGCAATCATGGGTTTTACTAATTGATGAGAAATAACAACTGATTTATTCTGTAAGATAGTCTGTGGTAAACATTAGTGCAACGTCAAGGATATAGGTCTTAGGTCCTTGTTGATGTCTTTAACTGTTGGTGTTTCTGGAAGAGGAACAACTTTAGCAATTTTCCAGACTTTGGGTTACACTCAGAGAATGTTGTTACAGGACTACAACTTTTGGCTCAAACATGAATAGTAATAATTACTTCTTATTTCACGAACATGCATATCTTTTTCGTTCTATTTATAATTGTACTAAAAATAATTGCTACTAAAGGGGGTAAGGTCCAGAAGGTCTCAAAACGTGATACGGAACACACACCCTAGATCCAACCAAATGGACCCGCTCCTTTCACATCACAACTTTTTCAAAACAAATACACAGGTAGTTCACGTACTGCTGGCTTTCTGTTCTTTCCCGAAGGAACTGGGGGTTCTGCTTGATAAAAATCTACTAGTGAATCATTATACCAGGGTCCGTGCAGGTCCTTAAATCCTTGAAAAGTGCTTGAATTAAAAACTCGTTTTCAAGGGCACTTGAAACTCCTTTAAAATTTGAAAATTTCGAAAAAGTCCTTGAAAACTCCTTGAAGATAGATCTTTATCACGAAGCTCTAGCGATCTTAGAAATATTCCGTTCGGCTGAAGTTGTGAGATAAATAGAGGATATTACATGGGCGCGCGGAGATACGAATTTTATCTTCGAGTGATGAAAAGATCTCTCACGAGTGAGCGTAGCGAGAAGATAAAATTCGTATCCCCAAGCGAACATGTAATATTCTGTTTATCATATAATTACATATAAAAGCAAATTATGCCGTAAAATACCTTTTTTTCTGAGGTCCACTATATAGAGAAACCTCGAATACTAGTGAAAATATCAATTTTACGAAATGGAGAAATATAGGTATTTCATAGATACTTTATATGATAAGAATGTACAATTAGCATGATTATGATGTTCCTTGAAAATACAATTTTGGTTCTTCAAAAGTCCTTGAAAAGTCCTTAAATTTCGTTTTTGATACTCTGCAAGGACCCTGTTATACAGTATATCCAGTATTTTTTTATACTTTTGTCGTTTCTTTGGTAAGTTTCCTGGTCAGCATATAAATGTAAGTGGCACAAGTCTGAGTTCCAGCTTTACAAAGTTTTGGGGCAACTTAGCTAGGAATACTGTGTGACGGGTTTGATAATACACAACTCTTAGCTCAGGAGGAGCCGAAGGAGTCTGTTCTTCTAAATAACTGTTCTAATACAACTTCTCAGTTGCTCAGGACTCGACAGCGCGTTAAGCAAGTAGCATATTAATTTAGCATAATTAAGTTCTTATGTGCTTCGCCTTCCGCTAAGCACTCTCTAAACTGTAAATAACATATATAGACCATATGAAAAAGGGCGCGGCTACCGTAACTCCATAGTTTATACGATTTTTATTGTATCATTGCTACCCGTTGAAAGAACACGTCACAATGAATAAGATCTGGAAGTTTCAATGCTCTAAAATTTAAGGATCAGAAATTACAGGTGTGCGAAGTTGCAAAGGTTTGACTGAGTGAAGGCCTGACCAGCCTCGCTTTCACTTTTTTGTTACATTTCAACATTTGAAGCTAAAACTCTGCCAATTTACTAGTTGAGATATACTCTTTCATATGGCGAAAACAGATGTTTAAATATATGGAAAGTTTAGTGTGTTCATTCCCAGTTCTCTGCTCGCTTTTCATATCGTCAAAGCAAGAAGCCGACCGGGGGGGGGGGGGGGGGGGGGGAGGTACTCCCATATATTTGCTATACGGGGACGTGCCGCTGGCCAGGGTATCGTTTTCAGCGATTTTACTCTGGAACTGGGTATAGTTTTTAGCGATTTTACTCTGGAACAGGGTATCGATTTCAACGAATTTTCTCTGGAACAGGGTCAGGGTTTAATTCCGGAATTATTGATGCTGGGTAAAAATTCACGGGGTTAAAATTCGGTCTACACGCAGGCTAGTACTGGATTTTCTCTGGAACAGGATATCGTTTTCAGCGATTTTACTCTGGAACAGGGTATAGTTTTCAGCGATTTCACTCTGGAACAGGATCAGGGTTTTAGTGACGTCTCAGCGGCAGACCCGCACCCAAGTTTGGGGGGAGTACGTAATCATCGGAAATAATGAAAGTTTCATTGTAAACCCTTCTCAAATGCCTCCCCGGCTTGGAGTTGCAAAAGCAGAGCCTCGCAACTGAATGAAAAATATGAACGTGCCAAGAGTATATTCTTCATCATTCAAAGAACTGTTGGTAAAAATTTCCAGATTTTTCAGAACTTGTCTTGGACTATCGTTATCATTTGACCGTGGAATATCAGACTATTAAATAGTTATCGGATTCACACTCTGAATTGTTTTGTTTTGTTCTTCTTGTTTTGTTTTTTGTTTATATTCTAAAAAGTGATTTTCATTGCTCGGTCAAAGAAAGCAACTCTAGACTTGGTAAAGTCCCGATATTGTATAATATGAGAGTGTTTCACAAGAAATGATCTTGATGCGACTACGATGCCATT